GAAGTCATGCCAAGATATGCCAAACAAAACAAGTACAGTATATTGAAAACAACATCATTATCATAAGATAGATAGATAGATAGATAGATAGATAGATAGATAGCTAGCTGAATACATAGATAGACAAACAAACGAACAAACAAACATGATATAGATAAATTATGTGGGTTGACAGAGTCGCCAATATCAAGTATATTCAAGTATACATGTGCTTCGTAGTCACAGCACGCTGCAATACGCTGCATGTCGTACAATTGTTCGTCTGTAGGACCGCCGAAGGGGCGCCGTGATGTGGGCTGCGTCCTGGTGAAACATTTCACTCACTCAGAAAAGAGCCTCTGAAGCTCTCTTCCCTCTTGACATGAGCAGTCCCATTTGCGTTTTTGGTCCACACACTGTAGTGACTGTAGTGATTTACTGATGAAGGAAGGATCAAGCGAATGTCATGGCTGCCAATTCGCTTCAGGTACCTAGAATTCAACAATCCCTTCCTGTAAAAAGGTCAAAAGGATTGAACATCCAAGGTGCGCTAATTAACTCACCACAAGCACCCTTCGTCACCTGCAGCTCCCTTGCACTAATGAATCAATGACCTGTTTGTCATGTGGTTCAATATACTAATAACCTATTTCATCTAATACGCTTTACGTAAAGGTACCTCGAGATGGCAACCCTTCGGGGCAACATGGTTTTCACTTGGTCGAACAGGATCCGTTCCTGGACGTCAAAAACCCGAAAATAGATAAAAATAGTCAAGGTCTCCAACTCGAGATCAAAGAGAATCCATTGAATTGAGAATCTCTTTGAGAACCCATGGGTTCTCAAACTCGAGAATCGAGAAAAATTGAGAATCTGGGAATCAACGAATTGGGACTCGTGATCGAATCCCAACCGGGATCTTGGTGTCCGGTTACCCCAACCCTTTGCTTCATCAAGTGTCGGGCCTGTCCTGATTCTTAGGGTGCAGCCACTGGTGCAGCCCTAAACCCGAATTCCAACAATCCTAGATATAGGATGCATATAGGATTATTTTACCGGACAACCATTGTTTTACTCGGGATTTTAGACTACAACCCCCAGGTCAACATCCTTTCGTTTGAAGTCCTGCCACAGCTCTGGGCCTCATTTCGCTTCTTCACCGCCCCGGCCGTCGCCCCCGCTTTGCACGTCCGTGGGACGTCGGCGATGATCCTCTGCACGCCCGGGCCATGGGGTGTCCCCAAGGAGGCAGCCTGGCCGATCCACCAGTCGGCTTGCATCGGTCACCACAGTTTTGAGGGGCGATGGTGATGGTTCACGAGATTTGGCCAAAGAGGAGAACAATCCTCTCAGAAGTGATCAAGAACAGACCTTTAAGGAGCATTACGACCCAGCTCACTCCTTGAATCAGAATGTGAATCTCTCGGGGGAACGTCCACCAGTAGGACTCAGTAGGACCTGAGTGACCTCTGTAGGGACTGTAGGGGCCCGCACAGGTCCTGTGCGCTTTTGGACCCTGGAGCGTTGCGCAAGAAGGCCTCTAAAACAGCACTGACAGGCTAACTAACATGTCCTCACTTCGATGGCCGATTCGGCCATGATGCTTCGGAGAGCTTGATTCATGCGCTCCTACCAATCTGGAAGGACCCCCCGCCACAGTGCGAAAAGCGAGGGCTTTGGTGAACCCTCCCAACAAATGGGGTCAGGGTCTCCAAGCTGGATCGTTCAGGGTCTGTAATACGTTGGGTCATTAAGTGTGCATGGTTTTCTAGTAGTGTCAATGGTCGTGTCAATGACTCAAATAATTTCAAACACAAATTTCCACCTTTAGACGATTTTAGATGATTTCAACTGTCAGCCGAGAGCGACACCATACAAACTTGCTGTCATATGTGATTTGCTCAGCAACCCTTCACCTAAGAATACTCTAGCAATATCTATACCCAGCTTGTCAAATGTCCTCCAAAGCAGCTCAAGTGTTTAGATTTACACCAAACAAATCCTAAGTAGAGTTTTCTGTAGTCTTGTTGCCCCAAGAACCCGGGAAAATACTAAGTGTGCAACATTCCAAAAAGAGCAGGATAAGGCTTTCGGTCAATATCTAACTTGGACATTAGGGTGCTGGTCTCACATCGTAACCCACCTGGACCCCTCCCCTGAGCTGAGTCTGGCAGGGTGGCGTGCAATGTGCACTGGTAAAACGGCAGTCTGGATACAACGGCCAGTGACTTCTACTTAAGAATGTCAGAGCAAACAACGGTCTGGTGTGTTAATCCCCAAAGAGAAACATGCTTACAAATTGAAAGGTTCACATCTTTGTATGATCTTCTAGTCTTAGTCTTTTTCCAAAGCTCAACATCAACAAGCACACTCTGCTTCCGTTCAGTTTGAGCTTCCTTGATTCCTCTTTTGGAGCTCACTGCAAAAAGAATGCCATAAGCCATGAATAGTGGCCAAACCACCATTTCCATGCTTGAATTCGTGCCCGAAACTCCAGCCAGGGCCACGGGAGGTCTTCCGAACGGTGGGACGAAGCCAGGCGGACCAAAGCAAAACAGGTGTGCTAGGCATTGGCATCGGCTCAATCTCGATCTATATAATATATATATATATATATATCAGCCGACACATGCCAACACCATCTGTTGGACAGATGTGGGTGTGAGGGTGTGTATTGAAATGGGGAGACCTCCCAAAGACCCCCTGGAAGAATGGAAATAGACCACATCCCACTGGTTGGGGATCTCCCTTTTAAGATACACACCCATGTTGTTTATTCTTGGAAGTGGTTAGAATAGGAACCTCTTCTTTAAGGATGTGAGACGTGGTTTGGGCGCAAAGCTCTATTTCTTTTTGTGCTCCGACCAACCAAATGGTTCCAGTCTTCAGACCCCAGAGAGGCCCAGAGTGGCCCAGGCGTGCTGACTTTGCACGCCAAAAGGTGTGGTGTCTCATGCAAATTTTGGGCTTAACACTTTTGCCTGAAAGGGAAGCTCCAGGAAAGCAGTTCAAGCCCCAATATAGACTCTGTAGACTGATTAATCAAACACGTCCACATGTACAATATTGGAAGTCTCAAATTGAATATATCATTTGAATGTATCAACTGCCGGTCAAAACACCAATCACGGCCGAGCTGAACTGGAGTTCTTCATCGAAGGACCAAGGTCCGCTAAGCCAAGACTAAAGGACAGAGGGCGAGAGGAAGGCTGAACTGGGGAAAGCAACATCTTTCACACCCCCAAGCAGCGATCGTCTTTGGTTTGAATGTTTAGGTGTTGGACTCCTTTGAGAAGGCTCTTGACATAATTGACATAGAGCATCACAGAAGAAGGGTAGACTGTAGACAGGACTCGACCCTAATTTAAAAAAAAGAACTCTGTGTTTTCTTGCAGTTTGGTCTTCCATGCTCAGTTCTTTTAGTGCCGTGCCGTTGCTGGAACCAACCAACTTGGCCGGCGAAGACAAAGGCGTTTTCTGGAGCGAAGACGCCCTGGCGCCCTGGCGCTTTTCTGCGCATCGTAAAGAACGCTCACGGCGGAGGTTCGAACTTGGAACACCAGGCAGTTCAAAGTGAGGATTTCTCAGCTTGCGTTCTCCTCAGCCAAAAGCTGCCGCTGGAAAAGGCGACGAGTTGGCAGAAGTGGGTCGAGGACGGTGGTGGTGTTTGGGTGAGCAGCCCTGATCCTCAGCTTTTCTGTTGGGGAGTCTTTCTCGTGTTGTAGAAGTTAGGATGCTTTCTCGTGGGTGCGATGTCAACCATCAGCGATCCCTTGTCTTCCAGCAAGTCCGTGTAGAAGCTCCACCAACAACAGTACTGGTCGACTCGGGAACGCGGTGTTCACAAAGCAGAGCGCTTTTCCCAGTTTCAGAACATAAAGACCTCTAAATTCAAGCACCACTGATTTGATCATCCCAAATGCTTGGCTTGGTGCCACCTTATATCATATAGATCGTTTATAGATAGTATTTTATATATAGTTATAGCATATTATAGCCCAAAAAATGAGAGATTGGTGAGCAAGCAGTAGAGCTCTTGAGCAGAAACATGTCTTGTTTGCTCTGGACGGCCGTTTCGTTGGTACCACTTCATATGGAAAGTGCATGGTTGTTTGTTTCAATTGGCAAAGTAGTACAAATTTGTGCCATACACCAAACTGCCGGCTGCAGCGGCTTTTTCCAGACTGACATCCCAATGGGACGAGCACTGTGTAGCTATAGCAGCCCTAGCAAAGTATTAGTTTCTTTCCTCAGTTAGTGTTGTGTTGAGGTACTATACAAATATAATATAGTTATTATGTTAAGCCGTTCGAGAAGACCGAGCGTCATGCATAAACCATCATAAATCAATAGACTATGAGTCATCTGCACGTGTCTACGATTCTTCGTAGCAGTTTGCTCTACGTACATACCTACAGACCTAAACAGAAGGCGACAATGCTTTGAGGTGCAAACGCAACTTTTACATCCAACTTGGCTTGACAGCATCCCCATTGATGATTTGTCTGTTGTGTCTTGCACTTTATCCATGGCAAGCAACTAGAAGCAGCACTTTCTGCAACTTTCATCCACTTTCCGGTACAACTGGGACAGTGTCCCGTTCCATGTCACGGATTAGACGTTCACCAAGACTCAGCCAATAAAACCGCAAAAAATAACGGGCTCGACAGCGGTCTCGACAGCTCATTGACTGATCATGGACCGGAACCTTTGAAGAGTTGGTCCAACCTTTGAAGAGTTGGTCCGCCAGTCCCCAAAAACATGCTCTTCTATGGGCCCATATGGGCCCCATGTCTAGATGAGCCGGCTTCTACCGTCTAAGGTTGTCTAAGGAGGAGAATCCGTGCTCCAGAGGACACTCCCAAAATTCACCTAGCAATCAGTTAATAGAGGAGAATCATCCGAATGCTTCTAAACATATGTGGCTTGGTCAGTTTTGGGCAGATATACATATATAATCATATATATATACAGTATATAGAGTCTAGAGAGAGATCCTTTTTGAGGGGCCTCTACTTAAATCAATCTCTTTGGGGGGAGCACTGATCTTTCGCATGAACAAGTGTCAGCTCGTCTGCGATGTCACTCTTCTCCAGCCATTGGAGGAACTTGGTGAAGTTCTCGTAGAAAGGCTGTCGAGCAACGACCTCAGTGGGCCCATTAGTGCCTGCCCTGCGGTGTGCATAGAACACTGCCCGGGCTGCCCAGACCTGTCTGTGCTTCACCAGGACGGCTTCACCAGCCATGATGGTGGGGGTTGAAGTGTTCTTTCTGCGCTGACCTGTCTGTCTTCATGCGCTCATAAAGAAGGCGGACAAACTATGGTGTTGCGCAAAAGACCATTCAAGCAAGAACGATTCAATATCATCAAAACCAATCCGTTTATATAGGTTTGCAGCCCAGCTTAAGATATCTTAAGATGTGATCTCAACCTCGAGCATCTATATATATAAGACCTTGTCTCGACCGTGGAGAGAAAGTATCTAGGAATATCTTGGATGCAACAATACATGCATAGACTCAAACTGCTGGACCCAAGAGCATGCAGTCCAACACACTGGACAAGTCAGTTTGCCCTAAACTTTAGTTCAACAAAAATACAGGTCGCCAACGGCTCTGACTTCTTCAACCTCTTCCAGCCACGCCCAGGCACCTCCAGATTGTTGTGGCCGCCATTCTCCACCTCAGCTCCGCCAAGTGTTCCCCGAAGATGAAGGCGAAAAGGAATAGCTTCTCAATGGCTCCACATCCTATTTTGGTTGTTGGTTTCAACTCACTAGAAAAAGAGTTAAACATTGAAAGTATCTGAAACCGACCGCATCACTTTTCTGGTGAGGAGGTTAAATGCGAATTGGATGGACTGTATTCAGATGTCCAACACAATCACCCCCCAACCGATCCCATGGACCGCGAAAATACCGCTGGAGTCTTGAACAAAGGCGAGATAAACAGCAACTGTCCGACCATCTGTTCCAAGACCTGGGTTTTCTTCACCATCTGATCTGTACAGCTGGCGCCGGCTATGAAGAAAGCGCCCAGCTAAGCGTTCATATTATGAGAACACCGTCACGACGTGGAGAGGATCCTCTGCAGGCCGGCTTGTTGGGCCTACTGCGGCTTGTTGTGGAGTGTGAAGCTGAAAAACCTTCCCGGCCAAAATCGTGTTGAACCACCGTTGTTTGAATTGACATGTCCAGAGGGAGCACGAGAAGGCGTTCTACAGGCCACACATGGCAATGAGAGGCACGAAGTTTGCACCTGCAAATGGCTACGTCACTGCAGTCTTGTGCTAACCAGCCACTTGTTGGGCTTCATCAGCCAAGCAAGACTCGCTGATGAACCGTAGACCAAACAGCTAAAGCATGCTAAAGCATCTTAGAAAGCCCTGCAGCGAATTGACATGCAGTGGGGAGGACCGGACCTTATCATTTATAATGATATCTTAGGGAATGTGAGGAGATGGGAACACTTTGCTGCCGTAGCCGGGGCCTTCTTTTCAAGAAAATCACGGCTCATTCCTCGGTGAACAAAAAGAGAAACACATTGAACAAATAACAAACAGTAGCTGCATCAGGCAACACTTTGGTCTCTGGTGTACCTTTGTTTCAGCAGATTTTATTGTCTTTCTGGGTTGCCATGTGAGACAATACGACGACAAAAGGAGCCTTGTCTATCATGGGAAGGTCGTTGCATGGATGTTGTTTTGCAATGTTTTGCCTCTTGCCTTCGCATCGGTCGTGAAAACCAAAGTCATCGGTCGAAAACACATCTGTTGGCATGAAGGATTCGACATGACGGGCCCGTTCCACTCTCCGACTCCGACGCTGGAACATCGCAGCCTCGACGCTTAGAGTACACTTTCTAAACAGGGGCAAGGAGGCCTTACTACTAGGAGCAAGGACGCTACTAGGGCCTAGGCCTAGGGGCTCCTGGCCTACTAAAGCATTCTTGCTACGAACAAGAAAGTGCGTGACTGCAAGCAGGACTCCAAAACGTGGTTTCCCCTTTCCACTTTTCTTGGTGGACGAGAGAGCGTGAATCGCACCAGGCGACCATGTAGGGAGGATACGCGATGCCTTCCTGGCAGTTCCGAATCAAGTCCTCCCAAGGGCTCAAGATTCGGAAACGGCACTGGAAAAAAAAATGCTTCCCATTCGGATACACTCCACTCCCACTCCCCATCTTCATCCCCATTCTGTGGAAGTGGACACCCTGCTGTTTGGTCTTCGTGCTTGGGCCACTTTGACCCCAAGAGTGTGAAGAACTTGGACGGATTCACACGGAGGTCGGAACTCGGACTCGCTCCCCGAAACGGTGCACGGTGAACCATCCCAGGAATGACCAAAAAGCAGTCATGTAGAGACTCGACTTGCGCTTGTAGAACAGGCCAAATTAAAGTCAGCAGTACGTTACCATCCATTGGGCCATCAAAAGTTTCAAAAATGGACATGTTCTTGGGAAGCTTATAGATCTTATAGACTGTATATATATATATATAAATATACCCAGACCTTCAAAATCCCAAAATATTTTGGTCAATGTGGTTTGTACTACTTTATTGTGACGATCAGTTGAAAAGTGGTCGAGCACATACGATTCAATCAAAGAGTGGTCGTGCATGGTCACACACTGCCCTCCCCGTGGCCTCTGGATGACTGATGGATGATGATGATGATGATGATGATGATTGGTCGGTTTCACGGGAGTTCAAAGGTATGATCTCTTATGTTTGCACAAACTTTTTGTTGCGAAATCAAGTGCAGCTGGGTTTGCCATCGCTTGAGCAGTCGATTTACCCCTCTAAGAAAGAGCGGCTTTCACTAATCCCTGGTCGATCAGACACTGGCCTAGAGCTCCAATAATTATAAGCAGGCTCGAGCGCAGCAAAACTACAAGATACGGTCATGATATACGAGTATGCACAAGGAACCATAATTGCATTTTTGCTAACAAATGAACTCATGTCGACATCATGCTCGTAGGAAAACATGACTAGGCACCCATGTTCTCCCCAACAGCTTATGACCAAAAGATTGTCCAAGTCGAGCAGGCAATCCTACTCATGACATTCAGCCCAAAAGGGTTGCAATTCAACGAATTTAGAGGTTTCTCAAACACCCATTTGACCTACTTTCTGGGATTTGTGGGCGTTTGCGGGTTTTTGCTGGCGTTTTGCGGGTTCTTGCGGGCGTTTGGCGCGTAAAACTGGTCGTGGGTGTTCATCAAATTCTGTCTCCGAAACGTCAGAATAACATTAAGATACATTAAGTGCGTTCCACTCCATGTAGGTCTTCAGAGGTCACAACCTGGGCATGAACAGACATATATGTTTATCAATTCCTCATTTGTCGTGGTGACTACTGAGTCCAACGAGCCGATTTGAGATTACGAGTGACGTTTGTGCGCAGGGTCGCGTGTACATTCATCGAATAAAGTAATAGAAAACGTCAAATTGTGGTGTGAAAAGGTTTTTTTCCTGCATCCCTGAAAAATAGGGACGGGAATGGTCCAAGACAAGTATCAGTTGCGTTTCCATGGAACTCCTTTGAAAGAGGTCTTTGCGGGTGAGCTTGCACATAAAAAAACATAAAAAAACAAGCGACGACGATCCAACGACGACCCAACCAATCGACAAGTCAAGGTGCTTCTCTCAGTTTTTTTCCATTTGCACAAGTGGTTGTCAACGCCAAAATCGTTGATTCGCCGAACCCATATACACACATTCCCAGTCTTTCCACTGTTTCTACATCAGAAAGAATTTTTTTGAAACTACCGTAGGGTTCTGCGACTGCACTGCCATATTCAGAATTCACATCGTGATCATGCCTTTTTGGCAAAGAAGTTGGATACAGGCTTGGTGTTTTCAACACTCTGCTCGTGTCGAATCACTAGTTCGATGAATTCATCCTTTCTAGTGGCTTGAGAAAGGGATTTCTTGGCGGCATCATCTAATGCGAGCTTTTTCAAATGAGACTTCAAATCTTTCACGGTCATCGTCTTCTGAAGTTCAGCACGTCGAGCCTTCCATACCTTGACCGGACAAAAGGTAAGCAATACAGCAAAAGATACAGGCTCAAAGCGATCCAGGAAAACATGTGTGTCTGGGGCCACCTGGACACTAAGAGACAAAATGAAAACACAAATTCACAAGTAAACGACAGCAACCAGCTAAGTGTAAACCGTAAACGCCGCAAAAGCACATCGTCCTCAGAAGAACGACCGGCGGCACCAGTCAAGGGAGACACCGCGGCAGCCTGAGGCAAACACTTAGACAAACAAGTATACTTGGAAACTGGAAACTGTAAACTGATCGTGCCACCTGTTGAGGTGGTTCGGATTCGGAAGCATTCAACTTCTCGCACTTCTCGGTCCTCTCCTAGTCAAGTCAAAAAATCAAACATGTACTGAAAATGAGAATTTCTGATAAACTTATCAAATCTGAAGAGTTCATTATGTTTGTTCATTGGGTTCTTTGGGAGCTTCCGCTTTTGCAATAAAACCAAACAGAGAAACAGGCTTTGAAACAGGTATATAATAGTTCTGGATGACTCAGCTGAACTTTGCTCTGCCTCGGGCTTGGAGTGAGTCCGCTCAATGACCTAGCCAAGCAGGAACACGTATGTATTAGTGTAGAGTGTAGAGTGTGTCGTAGTGTAATTCTGCAAGGCTTGAAAGCTTGAAGAGTCTTGAAATTAATATGAACTGGTGAGTTTCTGCCTCCGCTGCCTTGACATTGGGTTCTTTTGGAGCATATGGGTCCGTGACCTAGCCAAACAGGAAAACATCAAAGATGTTTGGGAATGGTT